ACGGGGACCAGCGGCGGCCTCCGTGACTCGCTAACAGCTCATTTCATTTATGCCACAAGAGGAACTCCCGGGGGATTTGGGTGCAGGGAGAGAAACCCCAGGCTCTGCAAAACGCAAGTGCCGCGGCCGAGCCAGCTGCAGGGCCCTGGTGGCGGGGGCTTCCTAATTCCGCCCGCTCTGTGCAGGTTCCAACAATAGCTCTGACCCCTGCTTTGGTTTGTTTTTTCCCCTTCCTCTTCCCTTTCCTCTTGTCCTGGAGCAGCCTGGAGCCAGAGCCAGGCCGGAGGGAGAGAAACCCCAGGCTCTGCAAAACGCAAGTGCCGCGGCCGAGCCAGCTGCAGGGCCCTGGTGGCGGGGGCTTCCTAATTCCGCCCGCTCTGTGCAGGTTCCAACAATAGCTCTGACCCCTGCTTTGGTTTGTTTTTTCCCCTTCCTCTTCCCTTTCCTCTTGTCCTGGAGCAGCCTGGAGCCAGAGCCAGGCCGGCTCTGCCTTTTCCCTGTTCCCCAGCTGGATACTGCCTGTTCTCTGCTCTCCCTGCGCCCAGTTGCGGCAAAGGGGACATCGACCCCGTGCAGCCCCTCACCGGGTGTTCCCGCTGCCGCGATCTGGGCGTCGGGCTCGACCCCAAATCCTTCCACTCCGTTTAGTAGCTGGCTCTTTTCTCTGGTCTCTAGTTCTCCACCTGCGCCTGGAAGGTTTTTTGTTTTCCTTCCTTCCCCTCTTGGTTTCCCAGTGCCTCCACGGCTCGCTCTCCTCCGTGGCCTCTGCTCCCCTCCATTTGCCGCTAATGAGTTGCCAATTACTTATTGGCAGCGGCGGCACCGCGGGCGCCCCGAGGCATCGCGTGCCCTGCCGCGGAGCTGTCCCTGCCCTGGAGCTGTCCCGCGCTCCCGTCCTGCCGGCCGCGGCCCCTTGCGCCTCCGAGAAATCCCGGAGCCCAGGAAGGTTTGGGGAGAGGAAAGGCAGCTGCCGCCGGGAGACAGAGCGGCTGTCTATAAATACCCGGCACGAGCGAGGAAGAAGTGGGTGGATTATCCTCCTTCCTCAATGAGATAAACGCTGCTTAAGCTTAAACAGAGAGCAATTTTCGGCTGAATAGTAGGGGGAATAACTTGGGGACGTGGCGGTGACAGCACCAGCCGCCGTCAGGGAGCGACAGGCCGCCCTCGCGGACACCCCAGGCCGGCGCAGGGCCAGGG